GTGTTGTCCGTGCTGTTCCTCGTGCCGCCGTCGCCCCTGCCCCCTTTTGACCGGCGCCGCCCCCGCAGGCGCTCCCGTGCCGCCCGCGGCGGCGGCGGAAGCGTCGTCGTAGAGATCGCGGCGGCCGCGCTTGCGCGTCCCGCCGACCCTCAAGCGGTAGTCTCTCGCGTACTGGTCTCCCTGGAGGGACGTACGTGTGTGTCGGCGGCGGTGTTTGTTTTGGTTAAGAGTTGTTTTGGCTTGCTGGTGTTGGGCGCGGGTGTGTTTTTGTATGTAGAAAAACCGCATTCTTTTTTTTTTTGTTCACTTCGAATCAGCTCTCACTGCAATTGTGCCATTTACTCCGACCCGTGATCACACAAGGGTTCCCCCTACCCACCCCTCCTGCGGTTCCCCGTCTTTCGATTTCTAATGCGAGGAGAGTGCAGCATTCTCTGCCCTCTGTGTACACACGAACTAGCCCTTTCCACCCTGGCCAGGAATGGAAGCGAGAGAAAACTCACTTTGCAAGAAAAGACGCTCACGCCGGGATTCGAACCCCTGAACCTAAGAGTCACTAGAAGGTTTTCTAGGACCAACTAATAGACTGCAATGCATACAATCGCATACGAAGTGAAAGACTACCCGTTGAGATATAATTTGTTGCTAGGGACAAGGAGAAGAGAGATCGGCGCAAACATGAGCGGGAAGAGAGGCGGCAACGTCACAAAATTTTCACTCCTGCAGTCCGCACCCGACACAAACTCTCATGTCCAAAAACCTTAACAGCAAACAGCAACACCACGACCACAACCACAACCACGACAACAGCAGCAGCAGCAGCAGCAGCAGCAGCAGCAGCAGCAAGCAGCAACAGCAAACAGCAACAACAACACCACAACAAGAGCAAGAGCAACAGCAACAGCAATAGCAGAGCAGCAGCAGCAAACAGCAGTAGCAGAGCAGCAGCAGCAACAGCAATAGCAGAGCAGCAGCAGCAAACAGCAAACTCATCAACAGCAGAACCACCACCACCACAACAACCACAAGAGCGAGAACAACCGCACCTCCGCGCCGCCTCCGTCCTCGTCCTCCAACCCGCCACCCTCCTCCATCATCTCCCGCTGCCGCTGCTCCCGCTGCCGCCGCAGGAGAGCGTTGGCCGCCCGAGCCGCTCTGGCCGGTGCCAGCCTGTCCGGGATCGCCGTCCGATCGCCGAGGACGCCCATCCTGTCCTGCTCGCGTACACACGGCGCCAAACTATTTGAGTCACCATCACTATCACAATGACCATCATCATCATGATCGAGCATGAGTTAGGTTGTCGAGGTGTGGCGGGAAATCGCTCCGGAAAAAAAATCGGAAAATATTTGTGTTCCCGTAATCCTATGATGTACGAAAATATTTCTCTCTCTCTTTCTCTCTCTCTCTCTCTCTCTCTCTCTCTCTCTCTCTCTCTCTCTCTCTCTCTCTCTCTCTCTCTCCTCCTGCCCCCCCATCCTCCCTAATGTCCTGCATCTAGATATGCATCTGCTATGTATGGGGTGTTGGTTTGCCAACGGGGTTTCCTCAACTAACCTGCGGCGTCGTCTGAAGCAGGGCACGAGAGCTCGGGGGCGGTATCCCTTCGCTGATGGCCTGATGGTGCCCAAAGAGGGGAGCGAAAACAACAACAAGACGAGAGAGATAGCAAGAGGGAGGAGTCGCGAAACATGAGGCCAAGCTACATGTACGTATCAACGCGGGTCAAAAAAAGGAGTGAGAGGACGAGGGAGAGTGGCCAAACATTTGACCAAGCTACCGACGGCACACCCAGTAGGTATAAACGCGGATCGACATTGTGACGAACCTGAACACATGCGGATATTGTGCAAGAAGAACAAAGAAGCGCGTCACGAGACTCAACTCACTCAACTATCACCACCGCAGGTGCACATGCTCGCTACATATTGCCAACAAGGATATACAGCGGCGACGCTACTGTGCCGACGATTCCTCTACTCATCAAGCAACTACACATGGCCTCAAGCTACAACACCAATCTGGCCCATGTTAAGACACCTAACGAACTCTTATGGGCGCGGGGGGGGGGGGGGGGGGGGGGGGGGGAACCTTAAAACCTTTGTTTTCCCCCCCCAAAAAGGGGGGGGGGAAAAGCCGGGGTTTTCCCCGAA